TGCCTGCTGTCTCCTGCCTCCAGCCATAATTCTGTGACCCAATGGATTCTTATGCATCTAGAACCATAAGCCTCAAATGAGCCCTTACTTCTGCATGTTTCCTTGGTCATAATTTTTTATTATAGAAATAGAAAAAAGTAACTAATACATTATACAACACAAAAAACTTTGCTGCAGCATCAGTTTTGGTTGTATAATTAATAAAACAACAATGGAAGCTTTTCCAATTCATGCTTTGGTTTTTACTTAGCTAAACAGGTGAGGTCTTGATCGACACTGTATCAATTTTGTTTCTCTTTGCATGAGTTGCACCTGCAAATTCATTGTAGCACTATTATTTTATACCAAACATTTCCAGTATCAATAAAAATTACACATTATTCTTTTATCTATTTAAATTTATTATCTGTTTTAAATTATTTTATTTAAAATTAGTCTTTTAGCTATTTAGTGTGTGTGTGCTTGTCATGACACAGCACATGCAGTGGTCGGATGACAGCTCTCAGGAGCCAGGTTTCTCTTTTCATCTCGGACCCTGGTAATCAAACTCAGGTCATTAGACTTATTTGACCAATGCCCTTACCTACAGAGCCAAGTTGCCTGCCCAGAAAATTCCTTTATGAGTGTGTGGTATCTAAGGAAGTATGGCAAGAATTCACCGGCTTTTCACATAAAGAGTTAGGCCCGTGGGCTGCCCGTGGTGGTGTGAGTGAGGAAGTGCAATACAGCGATTTCTTCTTTCTCTTTTTCTGTAAATGCGTATTTTGCCTGCATGAATGACTGTGACCCACAAGAGTTCCATGGAGGCTGGAAGCAGGCATTTGTTCCTTAGCAACTGGGATTACAGAGGGTTGTGATCTGCCACACAGGTGCTAGGGATGGAAACCCCAGTTCCCTGGAAAAGCAGTCAGTGCTCTTAACTCCTGAGCTATCTTTCTAGCACCCAGTGTTGATGTCTCAGTGATTCCAGGGGGATTTTAAAGAGTATAGGCTGGTGGTTTTATGGAGCATGAAAGAAATTCAAGGCACCAAGAGGAAAGCTCAGACTCTCTGGAACTGTGAAACAGGAAGATGACTACATTCACACTTGTTAAAAACCAAATGGCAAAATGTTCCAGGTGGCTGGATACCAAATGGGGTCAGCATATCTCACCTTCAGCATTTCTCAGCTGGAGTACCTTGGTTAACTAACCAATCATAGTGGGTTTGAGATTTAATATATATTGGCAAGCAATGACTGGCCCCTGCAAACATTTTTCAGAAACCTCAATTGAAAAACAAACAATGTGACTGTCAATGAAGGCTGACTGAGAAGCCAAGGACAATGGCACTGGGTTTTGATTCTATTGCATGGACTGGCTTTGTGGGAGCCTGGTTTGTTTGAATGCTCACCTTCATAGACCTGGATAGAGGGGGGAGGACCTTGGACTTCCCATGGGGCAGGGAACCCTGTCTGCTCTTAGGACTAGAGAGGGAGGGAGAGTGGGGAGGGGGAGGGAATACAGAGGCGAGGAGGAGGTGGAAATTTTTAATAAATAAATAAATAAATTTAAAAAAACAAACAAATAAAACAAAACAATTTCCCAGTAGTGGTCTGATTCACTCTATTCACAGAGTAATTGCTTCACCCCTCAATTCCTTAACAAGAATGCTCTTCATCTTGAGATTGCTAGATACTAGCTAGTCTCTTACCCTAAGATTCAGGCTGTGAACCTCCAGCAGAGCATTATTACACGTATGGAACTGTGTTATCTTCAGAGGAGCACACAAAGAAGCTGTGATTCCCCAGTATGAATGAAGCACAAGACAGATGCCTCAAACCCCTGGTAACAAACACATGCTTTTGTGCTAAAATGACGTCTCAAAATCATCTTAAAATGTTGGTGCTGAAGAGATGGCTCAGTGGTTGAGGCTGCAAATGGTGATTCCCAGCACCCATGTCAGGAAGCACTCAAGGAATCCAAAGCCTCTGGCCTCTGTGGTACCTATATTTATGGGCAATTAATACCTTTTCTACACACACACACACACACACACACACACACATACACATACACACTCACTCACACACACACACACACACACACACAAGGATTAAAATAAAAATTTTAAAAATTTATAATTTATTCCAAGTTTTAATTTGCAGAAAGACAAAATACAAAATGTTTCATGGAATATCTTAAACTGTTTGCAATGAGAACAGGCCCATGGATTCATGTATGTAAATGTTTGGTTGCCAGGGAGTGGCTCTACTTGAAAGGATTAGGCAATGTGGCCTTGTTGGAGCAGGTATGGCCTTGCTGGAGAAAGTGTGTCACTGGGGGTGGGCTTTGAGGTTTCAAATGTCTAAGGTAGGCCCAGTGACTTGCTCTCCCTGCTGCCTGCATGCTGCCAGGCTTCCCTGCCGTGTTACTAATAGGCTAAACCTCTGAAAGTATAAACAAGTCCCAATTAAATCCTTTCTTTTCTAAGAGCTGCCGCCGTCTTGGTGTCTCATCACAGCAACAGAATCCTGAATCAGACGCTGTTTAAAAATGAACATTACATTGTGTCTTCCTTTACAGATCAGGCCAACGTGTACCTAAAATGTCTACCTGCAGAACTGGTTCTACTTTCTCTCCAATTAACGTCTCTGTTTGACTTTCCGTTGTTTTCCTGGGTTATATATTGGACTGGAAGGGGAGCATGACGGAGAGAGTGAGGAAGAAAATGTAGTGCATTTCAAGTTTTCTTAGTATCCATATATTTATACTATCCACAGCAATGTTATTGGCAGAAAGGGAATATCTGAATTCACGATTTTTTTTTTTTGTGAGTAAAACCTACATATTTCTAGGCAGAACTTTAGGTCAGCTTCCTGGATATTGACAAATGACAAAATCAAGTCTTGTGAGCTGTGTCAATTCACTGGTCAGGTTCACTGAGTCCTCAGTATGGATTCAGTCTGAGATTTAAAAGAAATAGATCAAGATCCCTTTCAAACAGAGTTAACAAATCGAAGGAGATGGACAGTCAAAAGTACAATACATGGTCTCTTAGAAGACAAAAAGTACCATGAAAAAAAGTGGGTCAGAACAAGGAGTCAGATACTGGAGTGGGAAAGGAGCAAACTGACCTTCAATCTAAGTCTTGAATGACGTGAGCAAGCCAAAATTTTAGGCAGAACCTTGAGATAAGAGACATGAGAAAATGTATTGTGAGCAAAGAAAAGAAATGTATCATTCAGCATGTTCAATTCTGCGTGGTGACTAGATATTCTATGTCCAATGAGTACTGAGATAAAACAAATCATAAGTGCATAAAAGCAGTTTGGGAATGGAGATGTGTGACTCTGGGAAGCATTATCACATAATTTGTTTTAACATGCGGCGTGAATGACACAACCAAATAAGGGCTAGATACTACGTGGAAGAAGACACAGCAGTGAATGGATGCCGGAGAAGAAAGGACAAATGGAGATGATATTCCTACACCCGTCTGAAATGTGTTTCTTCAAGTTGAGCAGAAAAGGGTAAAGATAAAGGAAGGATTGGGAGTGGATGTATTTATAAGGTATATTGTGTTGTTCCTTTTTTAAGGGACTGGTAGAAGAAACATGAATATGGTTGTGAAAATAATACCCTACAAAGTTATCAAATTTATAAATCACTCACTATATCTTTACTATTGGGCATTCTGTGAATTTATTATTTTTTAAATTTATATAGGTATACAAAAATATAATTGTATCTACTCACTCTTTCTTCCTCCAGTTTCTCCACATCTTCCCCTTTCCCAATTTCAGTTCTTTTCATCTTTTTCTGATAAACTACTGTAGTTAAAGTTTCTATTGCTGTGAAGAGACACTGTAACCACAACAATTCTTATAAAGGAAAACATTTAAGTGGGGCAGGCTTACAGTTCAGAGGTTCATTACAGTTCAGAGGTTTAGTCCAGTATCATCGTGGTGGGGAGTATGGCAGCCTTTAGGTAGACAGGGTTGGAGAGGTAGCTGAGAGTTCTACACCCTGATTTGAAGGTAGCAGGAATAGACTTACACTGGGCCTGACTTGAGAGCATCTGAAACTTCAAAACCCACCCCTAAAACACACTTCCTCCTACAAGGCCACACCTCCTAGTAGTGCCATTCCCTGTGAGACTATTGGAACCAATTCCAACCAGTTACATCTGCTAACCTCCAGAAAGTGTTGCTCATGTGTATATGGATATGGGAAACCAAAAAGCAGCCACATTCTCAGAGAAGAATAATTCTACCTATCGATCACTTCCCAGTTGTTCCTCAGCAAGGGAAAGAGTCTGGAGATCATCTAGTCATCTCTCATCAGAATGTGAACAGGCAATTACAGTTGCTGTGAGTTCATGAAACTGCTCATCTTTTATATGTTGTATGGTACATATAAAAATTAACATAGAAATACTAATAAGATTCTCTAACTCAAGATTAAGGGCTTTGTATGTAAAATCTTCTGCACTCAATATATTTATATGTAGAACTTCTAGAAGATTCTCAACATGTATTTGTCAAATTATTAATATATAACCTTTGCTCTTTATTGAGAATTTTATTGTGTAGAAGCTGTACTTTTTGTTTAATGAGGACTCTAAGAACTTTTTTTCAATACTTTTCCAAGAGACATATGTATCTACTGCCTTAACACCAGTTTATTGAGACAGATTGCACATTTTCTCCATAATTACTTGTCAGAACTCATTGGCAGGTAGACACAGTGGATGTGAAATTTCTATTTATCTTAATTCTGGTTGACTAGCTATTGCAGTTAGTGACACAGCCCCTGAGAGTATGACTATATTTAAAGATAAGATGAATTGTTTCTTTTTTTTACCCAGATCTCTGTTCAAAGCCACAGCTTCAACCTATACTTATTTGGGAATACTATAGAAAATTTGACGTTATTTCAGTGAGCGGTTTTAAATGTTTCTTGAAGGAGTAGAGCCCAAGAAACCTGTTCTAGCCTTCAGAAGCGAGTCTCACGGCTTACCAGGATAAGAGGAGATGGCATTGATGTGGGCTGCTCTGATGACACCCACACGGGTCCCCCGGCTATTCTTCATGCACATGCAGATACATATGGCGATTCCTGCAATGACTCCCATGATGAACACGATTCCAAACACGATACCGGCAATTGCAGTGCCCCTAGGAAGGAAAACAAAAGCACGTTTGCCTCAACAGTCTGAAAGAGTTGAGCCTCAAGTACAGCTCATGGCTCTAAGTTAAGTTTTTCTTCACTATTCTGTTCAAGGAAACATGTTTTGTTTATTAAGAGAAATATTTATATTAATTATGCAATTGGTCTCTTGTATTCAATAGGTAAGAAAAATTGAAAACTTGTAGGAAAGTGTTGGGAGCCACCTGGAGGCACAGGTGGTCCTGCAGTTTGGAGGTAGCCACGTGGGGCTGAGCAACCCTGCCTGCACCCTTGCCTGCACATGCTCAGACCAGCAGAATGGCATTAACCAATCAGGACAGCGTTCAAGCCGCTCCACCGTTTAAAAGCAGCTGCCTCGGGGCCCAACGCTCTCTCTCTAAGCTTTCTCTCGTCCCTGCTCTATCGTCCCTTCCCCCAATTTTCCTCAAGGGAATGCTCCAAATAAAGATGTGACCAGAGAAGGAATTCTCGTTTTTGGTGGGGTTCATTCCTGCTGGACAGGATGGCGCCCCGCAACTGGTGCTCGAAACCCCGGGACACTGAGGGACCCTGACAACTACGCCGGGGGACCCTGAGAAAGCCCGGGAGAAAAAGCCAAGATCAGACACCAGCACAGAGAGCCTTGAATTTCAGAACTCTGAGAACGTGGAGCGGTGAGTGACGTCAGTTAATCCTCCAGAAAGGGGGGGAAAAGAATTTCAAAGGATAGGCCTAAATAGAAAAGAAAATACAAAAAAAAATCAAAGTTAAGGTATCTGAAAGAAGGTACAGAAAGCAACGGGGAAGAAAAATCCCTTAAGTTCAGTGCAGGAGGAATGTGAACAGCAGCAAAAAGGCGAGGTAACTAAGGCGGGACTTTGAGGACGATGGGGTACGGGAGACCGCGGCTTCCGCTCCCTCTCCGTCCACCTGCGTACTCGCTGATAAGAGACTTGGAGGCAACAGTCTCGTAGGGAGGCGAACTTGATCACTGCCTTCCCTGTTCTTAAAGAGCCACAGAGCTTTTGGAGGTGATTTTCGCCTAATTTTGTTAAGAGAGCTCAGTCTCTGGCTCTCACGTACAAAAAACTTTAATTTTTGACTGAGAAAGACAAGCTGCTTGATCGTGCTGAGAGTGCTGGCGGCAGCCGGCCCGCCTTTGAGCGGTAATGCCTGATTAAAAACACGGAAGTGGGCCAGGCACGGTGGTGCACACCTGTAATCCCAGCTACTCAGGAGGGAGACGCAAAATTGCACTCTCCAGTGCTAGCTCGTTCGGGAGGCGTGGCCATGCTAACCAGTTGCTGGCGGGGAGTTTGCTGGAGGCCTACGAAAAGCTATGGCGACGGGCGGGCTAAAGTCCGTGTGACATCAGAGGCTATGTGTCCCGGCCTTCTGGCGGGGCTATGGTTTTTGGAGGACTTTTTCAGCACCTGAGCGGACTCGCCTGACTGAGGCGGAAGCTGCGTGGTGAGCAGCGGCGCCATAGAAGGCAGAGAGGAGCTGAATCGGCTCTGCGGAAAAACTGTGTTTCCATAGCAACATGGCCGGGCCCTCCCTGAGCGGGGAGATGAGTTCCCAGAGAACGGGGCTCCGCGCGGGCAGACCGGGCCCTCTACGGGTGGGCGGATGCCCCCCTCGCCGGAGCTTGGCGGTGCGAATTTCAATGCCTGAGGTGAGGCTGAGGTACAGTTCGCAGTTACGGGATAACCGGCGAGCCCGCGCACGGCCCGGGGCGGAGCCATGCCTTTGGGCCATGCGGGGCGGAGCCATGCCTTTGGGCCATGCGGAGCGCGCCACGGTGGGCCTCAGAGACGGAGCCGCCGTCCGCTGCTGCCGCCCTCAGCCAAGGTCGCCAAGAATTTAGTCAGATAAAAACATTTGTCGCCAAAAATTCAGTCAGATAAAAACATTTATCCCCCAAACATCGCCCCTTTGTCAGCAGGAAGTAGCCAGATGATCTACGCCCATTCTCCCTCAAAGAACTGGTCCTAATTATCATAATAAAGGCGCGTCAACCTGGTTATCATTACCTATTGCCCCTGGCAACGGGTGAAATAAAAAATGCTACCTAGAGGTTTTTCCATCTGAATAGGGGAGCTGGAGAGATGGCTCAGCGGTTAAGGGCATTGCCTGCTCTTCCAAAGGTCATGAGTTCAATTCCCAGTGACAACTGCTTTGGTTTTTAAACAATAGAGGGGGACTACATTACCAGTGACAGCTTCCCCCAGAGAAAGGATTTCTCTTGCATTCTTTACACTTAATTTTAATTCAAAATTTTGCTGGTACAGGCAAACAAGATTTGCTCTTTGAAACGGAGACATGCAAGTCTCTAAGTTCAAAACCAGCCTACTTCCAGTACTGATTGTGCTGAATTTTTACACTGAGAGTTTTTAATACTCTTAAATGTTTATTTGGGAGGAGAGTTTTGTTTATGTTTTTCTAGGAATGCTGACATACATCTGGATGCCAGCGAGACCGACCAGAGAGATAAAGAAGACGACCCAGTGGATGCTGAGTGTCCTGCTGTGGAAGATTCATGCGGAGGCAGCAGAGATGACCTTCTGGGCAGTGCCAAGAGCAGCTGTTTCACACCATCGACTTGAGCAACACCCTGTGCAACCTCTTATCTCTTAACAATTTTCTGACTGACTCTATTCTGCCTTTCTCCCTCCTTGGAGATGGGTGGGAGCAGAGATATCCTTGGCATGCTGCGTCTAGGTGGGGACCAGATTGGAAAATAGTTTTGCCTTATTGCTCTTAAAGACAATAATTAGGGGGAGATGTTGGGAGCCACCTGGAGGCACAGGTGGTCCTGCAGTTTGGAGGTAGCCACGTGGGGCTGAGCAACCCTGCCTGCACCCTTGCCTGCACATGCTCAGACCAGCAGAATGGCATTAACCAATCAGGACAGCGTTCAAGCCGCTCCACCGTTTAAAAGCAGCTGCCTCGGGGCCCAACGCTCTCTCTCTAAGCTTTCTCTCGTCCCTGCTCTATCGTCCCTTCCCCCAATTTTCCTCAAGGGAATGCTCCAAATAAAGATGTGACCAGAGAAGGAATTCTCGTTTTTGGTGGGGTTCATTCCTGCTGGACAGGATGGCGCCCCGCAGGAAAGCTCTGTATGGTACCCTTGAGAAACTCACCATTCGGATTCTGCCTTTAAACCTTCATAAATTTTGAGTTAGAGAGATGGTTCTGCAGTTAAGAATGTACACTGTTCTTCTAGGGGACCTAGGTTTCCTTCCCAGCACCCAGAAAATGTACCTGTTACTCTAGCTCTAGGTGACATATCACTCTCTTCTGACCTTTGCAGACAACACACTTACATGCACATACCCTGCTACACCTATACACATATGTACACACATGCACGTACACACACATTCTTACATACACACAGAAATAGTCAAAGAATTTATAAATTTATAATAATATGAATCTCCAGTTATAAAACAGTAAATTAAAATAAAAATAATCTAAAATTATTTGATGTGTGAATGGCTATAGTGTAATTTCATTTGTATTTTAATAAATGAAGCTTTCCTGAAGATCAGAAAAGTAAAACAGCCACACCGGGCAGCTTTACAGATCAGGCAGCAATGACACACATCTTTAATCCCAGTAGCTACAATGACACATGCCTTTAGTCCCGTAGTCACACTAGCTTGCCATAGAAACCAGGCAATAGTGGTGAATGGCCTTAATCCCAGAACTACAGAGGATTATGAAATAGAAAGAGATAGCTCTCAGTTTCCTGGAGGCAGGATCACTATTTTTGGACTGAGATTGAGGTAAAAGGCAGGGACTGGTTGCTTTGCTTTTCTAATCTTCAGGTTGAACCCCAATATCTATTTCTCAGTTTTTATTAATCATGCTACAAATGGCAAAACTGAGTATGTTGAGCAAGGAGAATATTTGTTTCAATGAAAAACCTTAAATTCAACTTAAAATTTATTCTTTATTAAAATGCTTCACAGAATAAAGGGGCTTTTTCCTCATAAAACAATGAAAACTGAATGCAACAGCTGTGCTCCTGCACAAATAAAGACAGACAAAGGCCAGTTATGTCTCTATGAAAATGTAACAGTTTTTTTTGCTTATTATAATGTAAAGCTTATTATAGGTATATCAAACAATCCTACAGGTCAGGCAGTTATAGAAAGGTACAATCAAACTATAAAAGACATGTTCAACACACAAAAAGGGATGGAAAATTACCCCAGAATTAGATTGCATAATGATTTATTAACCTTGAATTTTCCTAATGTTAATGAGAAAGAAACAAAGGCAGCAGAGAGACATAGAATAATAGAAAAAACTTCTGAATTAAATCAGCCGGTATGTTTCAAGGATGTATTGACCTCAGAATAGAAACCAGAAGATGTGCTACATTGGGGAAGGGGTTTTGTTCTTGTTTTCACAGGAGAAGAAAAGCTATGGATACCATCAAAATTAATAAAGATTCGATTTGAAAAGAAGAACCACTTTAGACAGAGAAATGACAGCTCATCCAAATAAGTGACAATTATACGGTGATAAGTAAACCTCATAAGGGTTGGGGCAGTGTTCTGTTCTTTGCAGGAAAATATACATCTTCACAAAGCCAAGAGACCTTGGACTTTGGATGTCGAAAGAAGAAAAGATAACTATCCGGAAAAGAAATATGACTTTTGAGGACAGGTTATCTGTAACTTAAAATTTCATATGTACATTCTCTGTACTAATATATAATATATATATATCCCAGTAGAAATATAAACTCACTTTAAAAATCAAAGCTGGCTTTGAAGTTGGACAATGGCTATCCTTCTCCAAATCCAAGCATGTTGTTAAAAGAAAAATTCAGAGATTCTTTCTCATGTTTGAAGTCATTAATATGGGACAGAAAGAAGAAAGATCTCAGAAAAAATTTTACTTTTCTCCATGCCTATTTTTTCTTTATCATATTTTTCATTGAATATATGTCTATACGAATAATCTTTAAGTTTTTTACAATGAACAGTAGATT